TTCACAGATGAGACAGTATCAGTGTGTCTATTATTCCCTGAAAAAATTGTGCTGCGAGAGGGGCTATTGTTTTCTGCAGCCAAAAATAATCTTGTTACGTATATTGGTTTCTGGCATCATTGCATGGGTATCTGGAATCATTTCTCGGCATTAGATGGTCTGTTTCACTTTTCTGATTGTAATTTACAGGGCCCTACTTTTAGGTCAATATAATATATACATATATATTTATTCCTATCTATGTAGGACACACCAGATGCACAGGCATGGATGCGTGGTGCGTACTAGGTCTTTTGTAGTTGTACATTTGTTGACCCATTTCGTGGGTGTGCATAGAAGGGCCGTGAGCCAACCTATACCCGTTATGCTGATGGGGCTTTACGTAACTACTACGAGGGTTGGAGTATACATTTCCGTTCATATGGTACCTAGTAATGTCCCGTCTAGTAGCCCATGTGTTTTCATTACTTATTATAGGCCCCGTTCTCAGGTTATAGGCATGTTACAACCTCGGCTATTGCGGAAATCGTGGGTCTCAATCTGCTGTTTAATCAGCTCGACGCCCTTTGTGTGTCTGCTAGCGTGTGATTTTGTGTGGATAAAGCTACTTTTGCTGTTAGTTCTCACCTCATGTAGGCTGTCACCCACTGTTTGTCTGTCACTCTTGGTTCTAAGAAGAGCACTTCCACTCACGCGTTCCGTCTCCTTTATGGGACCTGCTGCAATGCTTACATGCTTCTTGTTGGGCTTGTCACAAGGGAGGTATATGAACGCCTGTGGAGAGACCTTGGTTTTTAGGGACATTTTCTGGCTTTTTTAGTGAGACTATCCTTCTTGGCCCTGGGTGCAGTGTGATCTGCCGATATTTGTAGGTTATCAGTAGTAGGAGTATCCATGTCTACTAGTACTTTGTGAGTGTCACTTTGTGCTTCAGTGTCCTTCGATACTTCAGCACTGACGTTATTCATGATTTGTGGTATAATCGTGTTTGTATCTAAGGTGATCTTAGCTACTAGTCGTTGGTTGGGGTTTTGTCCGAGACTATTTTAACATTTTTGAATTTTGTAGTGGAGGCCATGAAATCCCCAGATTTCCTATATTGTTCGGCTATTATACAGCTGTCAAACCTGAAAAGTATGGGACATGTGCGGTTTGACTCTTTTTTATTTAGTCAACTGCACTGACAGGGTGTACTTAAAAGGTTTGCAGCTCTTGACAAGGAGTGGTGAACCGACTTTATGGGCTCATTGTCAGGTATGTTGTACACTATTGCGTTCTGTGTAGGAGCGGATCTTTTAAAAACTTCGCTCGATAAATAGTCCATAGCGTTCTCTGTTTCCTTAGCATTTTCCAATTCAGTATGCGTTGGTTCAGTCCTCAGTTTAAAGAGTTCTAGGAAAGTGAGACCCCCTAGTTCCTTATTAATATGTAAGATTGTTTCTGATACCGGGTCAGGTAGATTTAGATTCGTCCTGAGATCATTTATTTGTAGCTGCATGTCGTTTATGATGCGGATTAAGTTAGAAATCTCTGCGTTTAATGACAGGATTTCTTCCACCTGTATTACAGGGGTTGGCATTATGTTGGAACCGTTTGCATTTGGTGAACTACTAATTACAGCTCATTCATGGGGTGACAATGCGTTACTAGATAAGCTTAAGCTATTTCCCAAATTATTAGTGTTCCTCAGAACACGCCTTTTAGAGTCTTGGCCCATTATTATTGGTGATAATATAGTAGAACCCGAAAAATGAATATCGGTAAAAACACGTGCAAAAGTGTCACCAAATTCGGACGTATCGCGGTAGTAGAAACATTATTGGTCCCATATCTTTCCGTTGCCTCGGGAATTAGCTATTACCTTCCTCCACAACGCAGCCTGGATTACAGTTGTGGAATATGCCTTTATACCAATGAAAAAGTATCAATTTATAATGCTTCACCATTGCAATTTATAACATAATTAATCGCGCCTGTAAAAATGGCTTGCATTTCTTGTAAACACCCGCTTAGAGGAAAAATAAACTATCATTATTATTAGTCTACATTGAGTACAATTCACTTGTGATGTTACGATGGAAATGCTGACAAGACTATACAAGTGTATCACTTATTTTGAATTATTACGGAATTTGAATATAAATCAAAAATAAGACTCGATGCCGTACACACCAAAGTTATATGGGGGAATGACTTCAAGCTTTACTTTTTCCCAAGTATCTGTAATCCATCCAAATCATACCTGGGTGTTTTGTTAATGCTAAGCCAATATCTCTATATTTCTTGATGTGGTCCATTGAATGAGTAGTTTTCACATTGTTTCCACAAACTAAAGACAAAAAGACAGCAACCATGTAATTTAAACATAAACCAAATTTATGTAATTTGAATAATACTTATCCATGCCTGTAAAATTTGTGTGTCCTACACAGGTAGGAATAAATATGTATTTTATCAAATTATTATTATTAAATGTGCTTACTAATCATATATGTAATTTATCATACTGATGATGCCTGTAAACTGGCGTCCCTCATGTACAAAAATGAGAATAAATTATTATTACATTCTTTAACCAATCACTGAGCGTGTGATTTCGGTTTACATCATGTACAAATATACATAGTATTCTGCTGCAAATGCCGTATTAAACTGTGGGAATAATATGCTGACTCTAGTAGCAAACAGAATGTTGAAATAGGTATATCGTATTCTGTTGCTACAGCAGTAATGAACTATGGGAATGTGTGAGAATGATATTCTGTTGGAACCGATCGTCTGTATCACACCACCACACTACGACAGTCAGACAGGTTTCCTTTAATATCGCTTTTAATAAATTCCGGTGTTTTTCCATACAAGTTTCCTCGACAATGCCACGTAATATCTCTTGTTTTGCCCTGATGGTTGCTGTGAAAGTGTCCGATACAGGCTCATCAATCAGTTTCTGGTCGTCAAACTTGAATTGTGGTGCATCTTTGTGCTCTTAAATGGTTCATCTTAACCTTGAAGGGTCAGTGCACTAGTTAATTCTTCGAACCGATATCTGCTTCTCACCTCAACTTCGTGATATTCAGGTAGAGTCTGCACTTCATGAATCTAACTAGCTTCCTGAAGGTTCAGAGCAGCCCGTATCATTTCGTCTCTCTGACTCCAGCAGAGAATAAGTTTATATTGGTTCCCTTAAATTCAGATGCATTGCCGACCTTGGTTAAGTCCAGGGACAAAAAGAAACTCGATGGAACTGTGATCACAAATTTTAGTAAAGCTTTCAAAAAACTGCTTCGTAGGCCTTAACACGGATTTTGGAATCAAGAGGGACCTGACTGACCTAATCAAATAATCCCAATGTATAAGTGTGAGGGAGAGATTCAGCATCTACTCGAAACTCTCATCCACGACAATGTTGCATAATGGTAAAGTATTGTACTCTACCCCTTCTTATTTATCGTCTATGATGACAAAATACCTGTTTTCGCCGGACCACCTATGGGTCTTTACACCAATGACCCAGAAATGAAGAGGAAGCTTGAGTATGATGCTGCAGGCACACGTCCCTAGGAAAGCTCGAAAATCTATTAGATTGGTTCAAAAATTGATGCTTACATCAATGTAATGAAGTATGCGGCCATGAGCATCGGATACATGGGTATCATTACAGAGGAAATATTACCCTCTTCATCCCAGACGCACATAGATATAGGCGTCACCGTGAGTCATGAATCTAAAAAACGACATACTTTTGCGCAAATAGTGCTTGCAGTCTTAGATCCTTATGGCCAATATATACGGTCTCTACTGGGACGATAAATGAAGAGATCACGTTATATACTTCCCTATTCAGGTTAAAACCGATAAACTGCACCTCACTCTTGCCCCGATTGGCAGTCATATATCCGAGACAAAATCCAAAGGAAGGCCATAGGTACGGTTCGTGTTATGTGTAATTTATAATGAGACGAAAGACAACATATCAAATCTCTGATGTTTTATTTTTTTATTTTTTTTTGATTTACAGCTTGGTTCCACACCGTACTTTCAGTACAAGTATGGAACTTTCAGCATGGATATCGGTAGCCCAAATTCAGGCCGACCATAGATGTCGGGTGTGCGCCGGCAGGGGATCGAACCACGGACCATGTGCTTGGTCGGCGAGAGTCCTAACCACTGTGCCACCGTTGATTGAGAGGAGATACAATCAAGATGTTCAAAAGTCCAGGAAATGACCATGGATGTGGCCGTTCTTCTCTTCTTCCCTCCATCAGGTCAGTAAATCTCAAAGGACATGTCGGAACAGTTCAAAATATTCGGTAGAACAATACCATTGTGAAGTACTGGTTTAGTGACTGCGGGTATTGACGTTCGCGAGTTGTACGGATTATACTAACGCAAGATCTTATACCAACAACCACTATAGTGTTCGTTCTTCGAGTACCAAATGGTAAAGCAAAAGACCGGATTTTGTCGTCCAAATACGATATATATTTTGGGACCAAATCGCGGGTAGGAATGAATGCTTAGCTAGCTAGTAATCGTGCACGCACGTGACACGACGAAGCACCAAATGGCGGGGATGCTTGACCGTAAGCCTTCAGCTAAACAAGTCGACTTAAACAGTGATGGTCAGCATCCAATAATGAGTGATGATTGCTGTGGTTAATAATTTTGGGGAATTATTTACCGCTACACTGGCTTTCCCACTGAAACATGTACTGACTCTTAGAAGATGAAGGTTTTGAGCAGCCGATTAGAAGAGTACATATGAACAATCGAAAAAATTAGAATGGGGATGATGTCTTTTATACTCAACCAAAAACATAAACCGAAGTATATATGAATTCACTAAATTTGATGCAAAGTCACATTCTTTAACCTTTTCTTCCTATCTAAACCCAGAAAACAACTGCAAAAAGGGGCAATATCGCCTTCCTATTGCATTTTCTTTGCCTGTCGACAAGTTGATTGACATCCTCTATAACCACTTCTGAGTAATATTGAATGTTTGAATGCTTGTGCAACCTTGACGGCTTTTTGACTGCGCATGTGATTGCGAAATGGAGAAACTTTCTCGTGTACATACCGGCTCCTTTGACTTTTTAGTGAAAGAAGGTTTAACTAGACTAGTCAAGGTACTCTAAATTTAAAAATTCTCACCTTATACCTGAAGCATTTGCAGCCACTGGAATTTCGCGCTGGTGATAATGTTATTGAACTCAAAGTACAGGTATATTTACTTCTTTCGTTAGGTTTGATTAGCGAAGTTTATAGAAGTATCCACTCCTGTCAATTCAGACAATAAGGCCTCTCTTCTATACCCTAGTGAGGTGAGTTAGTACTGGTTTCCATGTCAATTTGTTTAGTGTCGGAGAGCTGGACTGACCTATGGTGGTGAATTAAAGTTGAGCGTCCGTGTATCTTTGAACGGCACAGCTTTGGGTGTTGTGGATGTTCCATGTGGAGTCTTGCCCGTCATGGTTATGTCTCGGTCATGCAATTTATTCTCCCTACCGCGGTCTCAGTTTTATTTGCACAGGGAAGAGTACAAAGAGATTGGAGGATATTTCATAGTTAACGGAAAGGAGCGTGTTATAAGACTTCTAATTATGGCGAGAAGAAATTTTGTAAGCCTTCATTTTCTGCTAATGTGGTTAATAGCCTCTTGCCATTTGCAGACCATCTTTTAAGAAGCGTGGACATGGGTACACTGAGCGTGCCATTGTAATGAGATGCGTACGAGAAGATGAATCTGTTTCGGTGAGTTAAAGTGTGCTTAAGCTAATCCTTTTCCGAGTTCATTTACAATGGATTTTTAACGTACTTCAAATCTAAACAGTCCGTCACTTCCTTTTGTAAACATGATATTACTTTATTCAACTTAATAAAACTGTATCTCTCTGCGAAATGCATTGTGAAAGGAACCACGATGCAAGACTGCATGTGATGAATATTCTTACAATAATCCTTGCAAATAGTACGCAATCTAAATTAATTTGATGGTAAACATCGAGTCAAAGTGAAAAAACTCTCTACCATTGCTAAAATGTTAAGGTGGAATATTTGTAAACTTTCCAGTTATAAACTAGTCAAGTGTTTGCACGCCGTTTATGTTAGTCATATGTTGCATTACCGTTATATTCTTTGAATTGTGTGTACTAATTAAAATCACATCATTCTGATGTTTATTTCTTCTGGGTTGCACTCGTCATTGATATCTATTAAGTGCACAGTAAATTATCTTTTTTATTGCACTGAAGTAGATCTCAAACCACTTTTCTCTTTCTAATAATGACCTACCAATTGTGCTGGTTATATGGCCCTTGGCTATGAGTTCCTTGTGGTAGTAATTCACAGCAGTGTCTTAAAAGTACTCCACTGAAACATTTCAAGAAATATCGATTACACCTTCAGGTAACGCTAAAAGACTAAGTTAAGCACTAATGAAGAAGATTGCCCCTATCATTCCCCATACGCTGGTTGACTACGATAACTTTTGTTCTCACTGGCATTGAGATCGATTTCTAAAGCTGTTATTCAGCGATCAAATCTGACAGTAACAGTATTAGCCGTGCATAGTATCTAAATTTACGCTTAATTGGTTGATGAAAAAGTTTACTCTCTCCTTGAAATTCTTTCCTTAAGTCACCGTTTCCCCGTTTCTATACAACCCAATGCATTTTAGATTTTGATGCTTCACTGGCTTATGAATGGTGAACCAGCCTTAGCATTCATCGTCGAACGTGAACAATTTCTAGTGCCTATCTCAATTATATTACGAGTAAGTTCCTACTTTTTCTTGTTTCAAAAGACGTTCTTAAATTATGATGATAAATAGCTCCACTGTTATTGTGGCCTGTATCACTATTTAAAAAAATTTTTGTCAAGGTATTTCAGTCTTCCTGTCACCAGATACTTTGAAATGTCAGGTTTTCATGATCATAAGTCATCATTTTTCTGTAGACAACAGCGTTAAGGATGCTTAGTTACTTTATTTTTCAACTATGTGTTTGGCAATTCAACCTAGCATTGGATTGCTTTATAGAAATAGACGAGTGGTTCATTCCAAAAAGTCTTTGAAAATGTTTAGCTTCATTTGTATACTTTAGGGGAAATTTTCGTGATGCATGATATGCACTTCTCAACTTATTGGGTGTAAAATAAAGCACTAAAACCAATCTTCGTTGATATGAGATTTTAAATTAGGCTTTGAAAAGTTTATTTGTTGCCGAAGTTTAGTTTAAGTTAATTCGCTGTTAAAATTTTAACATCAAAATACGCAGCTTATTTGATGCTTGTGAATATGCCATTTATTATTACCCTATTTACATTTGGTTACCTTTCTAAGGATGATTGTATTGTTTTATAGCTGTTTCCTGTGTGATTAAAGCGAGTCTTAGTGACCAAGACTTAAAGCTGACGCCACTTATTTCGTCACACTAACTTGTATCATGTATCAAGTAGTAGACTATTTTTTGCTGGGTACTCCCCAAAGTCCCGAAGTTCCACAACCTTTTTTCATACTAGTCGTTCGGGTAAGTTATCACAAAGTTAGGGCACCGAGGTGTCACAGAACTACAACTACCTGTGGTTGTTGTTGTTATTGTTGTTTCTGAGATGTTGGAAATAACTCGCTAGAGACCTTAAATAACGTATGTGAAATTTATGAAATCCTGTGTATGCTTACACTATTCACGTTGATCATTCTGTATGCTTTCACTGTTGTCATTTTACCGTTCATTTGTTCCTTATTTCTTCAAAAATTGTCACCAACTCAGTTGATCAATCAATCAATCGAGTCCCACATGTTTCTTTGCTTCGGAGCTTTGATGTTTTTAACAAACTCTATTGGGTGTTTTATCATCAAAAAATTACAAATCCCTTAACTATTCAAGAATGTGCATGTCGGTTACAGTTTAATTACTTAGTTATCTACGTCAACTACTAGGGAGTGAAGTGATCGAACATGTTGACCACTTCACCTATTTAGGAAGTTGTATCAGCACCAACGGACTGATTGGTGACGAAATCTCAGCATGGATCAAAAAAGCTCGAACTGCTTTCGCTAACTTACGCCATCTCTGGCGTAGGCGTGGCGTCCGGCTATTAACCAAGGGACATGTGTACTGCTCAGCAGTTCGCTCCGTCCTTCTCTATGGCTCTGAAACATCGCCAATACGAGTTGAAGACATGAAAAGGTTGACTGTTTTTGATCATAGATGTCTACGATCTCTTTCTCACGTTAGGTGGCGTAATAAGGTGAGTAATGTTGACGTTAGGCGTAGAGTGTTGGGCAAAGAGGGAAAATCAAAAAAATAGATTGAGATGGCTAGATCACGTGCTGTGCATGCCTAACCGTCGCCTCCTCCGACGGACGGGCATTACTAGCTGATATAGGTGCAGGTTGGACAAGAGTAAGTGGTAGCCAAACAAAAACATGGCCTCAATCAATCCATGAAATCCTTGACAGTTAAACTGGGTCAGGTAGTGAGATGCAGACTTCCGGGTTGGGGCCCTCGGGACTCTAAGAATCAATGGTTGGAGACACTAGGTGACATGGCTCAAAATCCTTGTCAATGGCTAGCGCAGATGTATTCAGTCTCTGGAATCTTTCATATTCCTTTCTACCATTACTCATTCTGTTTCACTCTTATACTTGTCAAAACTCTATTGATTCTCTTCACTCATTTTCTTGTCTACCTTTGTGTGGTATTTGGAACGTGGCAACTCGAACTGCTGCACTTCAGTCCCAAGTTCTATGTTGAATCCAGATAGAGAGACAGACAGACAGTTATCTCTTTGAAGTAATCATGTCAGTATGATTCCTTGAGATTTACTAAGCAAAGGATATTTTTATTTTCTACCGTTTGACAAACATGCCTTGAAAATCTGTGGCTAACACCTCAATATATGTCTCAGGAAGTTTAGCGTTCCCTTTAGCTTACAACCACACTCACCATGGTTTAGTGGAATGTTACAAATATCTTCACATAAAACCCAGACATTTTTGACTGTTCTGTCAGCTGTCACATTTGTTCTAACGTCTTTTGTCTGTTTTCAAGCAAATAATATTGAAAACGTCCCTCTGGTTGTTTACCCATGACACCTCATCTGTGTTGTGGTATAAGACGTGCCCGTAAATAACTCTTCCTGTAACTTCTTCAGTGTCACCAACTGTATTGTACAACAGTACAACTCAGAATCTTGAGCTGTCTGATCGCCGTTGCCTTAGTAGTAGAGTTTCTCTTTGAGTAAAACGAAGTTCAGTCGTTTATAGAGATATACATTGAAGCATTGAAAAACCTCTAATTGCTCAGACATACTGACAGTCCATGAAGGCTCTGTTTGTATAAGTTTAAGACCCTTAGGAACAGCTGATATTGTTAGTTCAATATTTGAGGTGATACCATTGAGCATTGAGTGGCAACTTGGCTCACTAGCTTAAGCGCTCGGCTATTGGTCGTTGGTTTCCGGGTTCGAACCCTGATCATCTACTTTAACCCTTACACAACAAAAATGCAGTTGATTGCCATGAATATAAAAAGCCTGTTTAAGCAACAATATTGCATCAAGCAAAATATGCTCACATGTTAACTGCATCCAAATCTTCAAATCTTTTACTGTCCAACATCCTTCTTTTGACGTATTGTTGCTTTCCTCTATAGCTAATATTACTCCTTTCGTCTTCGTACCAATTTTAATTTATGATATCATGGGAGTGTAGCAATTTGTGCTATCTATAAATCGTACCTATAATAAGTATCATTCTACCCTTTCTCTCTTTGCTTTTTAAATTAGCAAGTTGATATAAC